TTAACCTATATTTTAAAATTAAGGGACATGCTAACCTTCAAGTTTCTCGAAACAAAAGCACCATTTTCAAAATAAACGGTCATATAATTCTACTATTTTGTCGAAAAGAAGGGGTAGTATTTTACGAATTGACAAAAAGCAAACCACAGATAAAATATATCAGTAAAAAATTATATTACAGTGAGGAGTACAATTTTGTACTAAATGCCCCTTCCGTAAGTGCACACGCGAGGGTGAGAGTGGCCCGCGACTATGGGGGTGGGAGAATGATGGTTAGTATTAGGGGTAGCGAGTTGGTGACTCGCGAGCCAGTAATGGCTCCTTCCCCCACTTTGTTATTTCGCACAAGCGCAGAAGAACCACCCCCTCTACGCTTGGCGTGCACAGTTTGGACGAAGGCTCGTCGGACACTCGACTAGTGGGGAACCTGATGGGCTATGCGATGGTGGGAGAATCCTTTGACTGTTGTGGCTCTCGACGGAGAAGTTCGTCACCCCTTGTGTGCGTGTGTGTGGAAATGCGTGCGAAGGAGAAGTCGACCAGGCGGCGATATTCGAGGAGGTAACACAACGCGACTCTATAAACTCATATTCCATTACCATTCCATTGGTACACGCTTTGTTTTCAAAATAAAAATATTCTAATCTCGGGCACACACAGTGGTGACCATTTCCAGCCGCAACTCGGTTATTAATTCATTTACGATTAAGAAGAACGCCTCAAGAAAATAATTCTAACATCGTCCACACATAACTCCCGAAAATTTCAGTAAAATGTATGGATTACAAAAATATTTATCACATTTTTAACACGTTGACTGCCCAGACCAAACCCATCGAATCCTCCACGAAAACAAAACTTTCTTTCTAGACAATTAGAAACTAGCGTAACCATAATTTGTCATAAAACTTATTTTCAAAGTCTCGTTAAAATTCAAGAGTCATATTTAGATTTATTTTCTTTAACGTTTAATCTTGAAAATGAATCTTTTTAGCTCCTTAGTGAAAAACAATGTCACCCATATGTGGTTTATTAAAATTCCCTGTCGTTAACGCGTTGACTGATCATTCCAGGAGTTGATAGATCAATTAAGGATTATCTAGATCCTCGTCCAAAACTTCCCCCTGATCGAAATCGATAAAGGTGCAATTTACTCCGACTCGTAGGGTTGATCAAGGATCACGATCAAACTGACCATTCCAAACCCCTCTGGTGGTCTGGAAGTTTTCGTAAAAGCGCAACAGCGCTCCCTCTCCTATCGGTTAACCAACCCCCTCGCGTGCAGATCGCCCTATACGATTATCGTCGCATCTTAATCGCCACTAAACATCCCTCGTTATTATTTAATCCTTTTTAAACGCGACGAAAGCTCTGTTTCCCTCTGGAGAACGCCTCGGTTTGGTTACACACGGTAAACGAAACGTGGTTGCGTCGACGTGACGTCGGTGGTCATGTACCGTGTGGTCATCAAACACCGACTACCGTGGATCGTGCGTCATTGACACGGCTGCTGGCCATGAATGAACAGCGAACGCGCTCATGTGTAGCTTGTCGAGCTCGCCCCGGCATTTAAATACGATTTAAAGCGAACGCGGACGAAACGGGTTGTGGAGGTCGCGTTTCAAACGCGAACGAGCGTGAGAACGATTTGCCAAAGTCCAAGAAGCCGATTCGCGCGCTAGATCATCTCGAACCTTTTATTTTTCGTTCGATACCGCAGCCAGTCGAATTCGACGATGTTTTCAAGAGCAAACGAACAACGAATTTCTACGAAACCACTTCGTAAATATAAATTTACGAGCTGTTGTAAGCTGGCGCTCCAACAGATATTATTAAAGATTAGAAATGTGGAAACATTAAAGCAGCAACAAAGTAGAATCGCCTTGGACGACATCTCCTACAAAATTATATTTCAGTTCTTGCAACATCCTATTAACCCCTTGACGTACGATTTAATGTAATTTTTCAAAAGTATACTACTTAATTTTGTTTAAATTTTTTGTTTTACGAATATTTCATGAATGTTCAAATGTGTTGATTTTAGTGTATAAAACTTGATGACGAGTGAATGTCTCATGATTGTGAAACTTAACATCAAGAACTTGTAACGAGTCAGATTCGTCATTGTACGACAAGGGGTTAATACTGTATCAACTACCATAATTGAATGTGACGAGAGTATAGTTCAATATCGATGCACGTTTCGTTTGTGAAATGTGCTCCTTTGGAATCGTTTTCGATACAAAAGAATGAAGATTACTTTTCATTAAAATGATCAATCGTTAAGGTGCAATCTGAAGGCAAATTTTATACTCTGTTCTCAATTTTAAAACTCGGGTCACATTAAATTTTAATTCGTAATACGAGCTAAATAGGAAGTTGTAACCGACCTTGTCTATATAATTCCGAATTTCGCGGTTCGAACCGAAACTTCCGTCTTCCTTACAATTTTCTTTCTGGTGTCCCGACTGTGACTCTATTTAACTTTGAGGCATCTAAAAAATTGCTTAATCGTTTATTTATTTTAGAATATTTTCGAAACGAGTAGCTTGTGCTTATAGAATTTTGGCCAACGATTTATCTTCGACTACGATTCGACGTGCTTCCCCATATATAAACAAATGTTCTCGACCGTCGTAATAAATTAAGTGCCCCTAATGCATTTAGTGCGCGTTTCCAGTCGAACGATATTTGTTTCAAGATTGAATCTATCCGGCGAGCAACGTCTGAATGGTTCGTATTAATCATCGTTGATTTCCTGCAAGTTGAATTTTAAACGTAGCATCGCGTACGTTGTAATCACGGTCGCGTTGTATCATTTCTCAATTTCATAAATACACGTTGGCGAAACGTTATTCCACTCGGCGAATCGAAAACGGTGCCTGAAAGGAGCGAAATCGATCAAGACGTATCATTGGCGTAGGAATATTAATAGTTTTCTCGGTTCTGACAGTTGCATTTATCTGATTAGAGAGGTTGCGCGTACCACGAAATATTAATGACCACGGAACAACGTCGGTGGTCTTTTTAACAGAAACAAAAGCGTTCGAGAGAAAAAAAGAGGAACAAGAGACGAAGAAAATGTCCAAAGTCGTGTGTTTGCTCTCGACAGGACGACGCTAAACATTTCGGTACACATTTTCCACGTTTCGTGTAACCGTTCTGTGAAACCTTCGTCTCGTTACCATCTAACGTGTGCACATATTTAATTTGCTCGTTTTATCGGAATTTCTAATCGCGGCCGCTCGGCCGCGTTTAATAAAAGGAAATCGATGATCGTTTAATCGAGCGTTCGTGGTGTTTTAAAAACGAAATAAAGGAACGTCAGAAATTTATAAATAACTCGTAAAATTTACCACTGGTAAATAGTTGTTCGCTTATGCAAATAATTTGCTTAATTACAGCCGCGGCGATATCGAATCGGTGGATCCGTTCCTTCGTCGATTTTATTTCCTTTTATCGGGCCCGTAATATTCTTAATTGGCGGAGTGACATTTCGTTTAAAGACTCGTTAAATTTAGTTTACACGAAACGAGCGTGCTTTTAACAAAATTACTGCCAAATACGCGCACGTGTTCGTGAAATGTAGACAACAAAGTATAGAACCTGTGAATCTTGTAAAACATTTTTTGTTTCATCTTTCCTTACGATCTCTAAATTACACCGAATCTCGCGATTATTGCACTCTAGAAGCCTCTGGGTGCCAAACAGGAACTGTCGAAGAGTGTCCGACTCGACAAAATGACCAAAATTCATCTGAACGCGATTCGATTAATTCTGTTCGCGTCTGTGATATACGATTCTGTTCACACCGTGCTCGAGCAAATATTCCGACGAATGACACTCTCCTTTTATCTCTTCGTTTGTTCCTAACGCGCACCTGAGTCACGTCAGAGTGGTTTATGGTCTTCGACACGTATGCCTGGCCAGTCAGATTTTGTGTGTGGGCAAATCCAAGGACACGGAACTCTCCTAACGCGTTTTAGCTATTAGCGAATTCCTACCGCAGGTAGGAAGGAGAGAGAGAAAGAGGACAGGATTAATTTCAAAATCTGTCGGAGGCCACCGAAGACGATGGTGTCGTTCTTTCTTTTCTCTAAGGATACGGGTCAGCTTTCGAACTCTTGCGTAACATACGCGGTTCATTGATATCGAGATCCCTCTTGACACAGTGATTATCAAAATCTCTGCATCGCCAAGGGCTGGATCCTCGTTCTTCTCGACAGAATGTACTTCAAAGTAAAATAAAAGAAATTCTTTTAGACAGACATCATCGAGAAAAATATAAAATAGCGTGTGTGTAATTATTAATTTTATTGTGAATGAACTGTGGAGATATTTAGAAGGCAATGAAATCATTTGGGGAGAGAACAGGGCGATTGGTAGAAAGAGAATATTAATTATATTAAAATAGTGTAGACTAATTTGAAACTAAAAGTTTGTTAATGCCTGCGCTTCTACTCACGTATTTCCAATTTAGGCGAGTGCTATTATAGGTACGTGTCTCTTACAGAAATAGCTTCATTACTCCGGAACGTGTCTTCCACATAAGTACTTTACCAAGGTTTTTATTTTACACGTGTAAACGTCGCGCAGTTTTCTCGAACGAGAAAGAGAGCGAAATTGAAATATAGGTAAATAGACTTTTATTTCCGCGAAGGTGTTGATACAAAAAACGCCCAAGTATCCAAATATGTATAATCAGAATGTGAAAGAATTTTTATCGTTCGGAATGATTGTATAATCAAGAATAGTATACTATCGTATGAAAGTTGGATGAAATTACAAAATGACTTAATATTTCGTGGCGTGACGAAGATAAAAAGGTAAATAGGAACGTCGACGGTATAAACAAAAGTTTTACCATCGTGGAATGTAACAAGTGTAAAACGAGCGAGGATAATTCGAAAGCGGCCGATGAGTTAATGTTTCTAAAAAGCCGACGCCCGTTCGTGCAGCCATTAATTAATTCCAACGCCCTTTCTCCGAAATTCTTGCAGAAAGTCCTCGAAGAGCGGCTGGAGAGCAGGGTCGATGCCATGTTGGAGACCGGTCTGGTGCAGGAACTGCTTGACTTTCATCGGAGATACAACGAGCAGCGGATTCAGTCCAACACGTAAGTGCAAGAGTTATGTCAGTAAGTGCTTTATATCACGCGAACCAGTCTGCTGGTTCAAGGATTTATCCTTCGTTTCTCCCCCGTTTTCGTCGTGCCTCGATCCATACTCGTTCTCCGTGCTGTTCGCTTGAAATTTTCCCCGACTCGTCCATCCGTTCGAAGAAAAGCAAATTATTGTGTTTAATGTACACAAAAATCCAAACTAACATCGATACGTGATAATCTTGTTAACGATGCTTCCGTGTCGTAGCATTGGAGGGGGAAAACTTAATCGTGGATATTGCTTTAATGGTCACGTGTCATGATATTAAAAGTGAACCGAGTACATAGATGTATTGCACAGTTATGATTATATAGAATGATCATCTGTAGTTTGCCACAAAAATGGAGACTGGATAGGTGTGTAAAAAAAGGAATTGAGAAGTAAATATTTACTAAACTAAGTGTAAATCAATTACAGCTTCAAAAATATTATAATATTACCCATTTTGTATTCAAAATTTGTAATCTAGAAAACAAAGTTAAAATAATCCAGACCAGTTATCATTCGTATCTTTATATCCAAGAACACCGGAACATTCTCCATTGCAAGTTACAAGCTACTGGACCGTTAAAATCTATAATAATCGATACTAATTTCTCGTATCTAATTATCTGGTCCTAAATAAGGTTTATTCGCTCTATATCACGCAACGGGTGTCTCCCAAATAAAGAGTAACTTACAAGGAAACACGATATGGTTCTAAGGTTGAACGTTGGTGCAAAGAAGCGTCAAAATCGGTGTTCGAAAGTTCGTTTCTTCGCGATTGGGTCGCTCGGTATGTACGCGTTCCCCGAATTTACGCGTCACGTGTGAGCAGCGAACACGTGAACCGCGCGATTCGTAAACACCGCGTCGAGCGAGCCTCTTGTGAATGAAGCTTGCTCGCCTCTCGCCTTACCAGGGATGCCAGAGCCCTGGGTGCACCATGGACACCTCATTCCACCTTCTTACACTATGTCAGAGCACTCCTACATGAGCTCGTGGAGTTCAGAGAGTCGACAAAGACAAACTGACACATGTCCTCTTTTTCGTTTCCCCGAAGCTGCCCGAAGTAATTTCGAACCGTCTCGTGGGAGTCGAGAGAGAAACTCACATTTGTCTTCTTGCTCCTGAACAACTGAAATCCGATCTCACGTCAGTGGTATATGATTTGGAATCTCGACTGTTCAGGCGTTTTTATTTTTCGACCTATGTAGGCTCACATAAGCAAAGTATATATGTATAATAATGGAATAGAAATTTTGTGAAATTATTGGTAGCTTCTGCAGACCTCTGCTGGCTTTTCCTGGTATCTGCTAGCCACTGCTGACAAAAGTAGAGAACTTCTGACAACTTCTGACACCATATAGCGACTGTTACTGGCTACTGCTGATTACTGCTGGCCCCTGTTTGCTTCTGCTTGCCTCTACTGGTCTTTGCCGGGTTCTGCGAGCTTCTACACGCCTCTGCTGGTCTCTGCTGGCCACTTCTGATAAGGTTGGCAACGTATAACGATTACTACTGGCTACTGTTTGTCTCTGTTGGCCTCTGCTGATCACTACTGGCTACTTCTGATATATCTGGCAATGTATAACGATTGCTACTGGCTACTGTTTGTCTGTTGGCCTCTGCTGACCTCTGTTGACGTCACAGACGTGACAGTAGTAATCGTTATATGGTGTCAGATATATCAGAAGTGGTCAGCAGTGGTCAGCATAGGCAAGCAGAGACTAGCAGAGGAATTCAGAGGCAATCAGAGGCAAGCAAAGACCAGCAGAGACTAGCAGAGGCATTCAGAGGCAATCAGAGACCAGCAGAGACCAGCAGAGGCATTCAGAGGCAATCAGAGACCAGCAGAGACATTCAGAGGCAAGCAGAGACCAGCAGAAGCAAGCAGTAGCCAGTAGTAATCGTTATACGTTGTCAGAAGTATCATCAGTGGTCAGCAATGACCTGTAGGAAAATTCAAAAGTACATGTTACTTTATGATAGTCTATACCGCTATCGACGACCAGAATGCTTAAGCTTGTCGAGAAGTAGTTGGTTCCATACAGCAGTAAATGGCGTACCAAGTATAATACATCGAAAAATTGTTAGTTTCATTTAACTTTTTCGTATGATTGCTGTATATACGTTACGAGAAGGCAAAGAAACTTCGAAACTCTGATGTGATCTGGCATAGTGTGAGAAAGTGGAATGAGGTGTCCCCGGTGCACCGGGGGCTCCGTCTGGCATCTCTGCGCCTTACTCGCTTCCGGAAATTGCGAGCGCGTCGACCGGATGCCAGCGAGAAAATAAAGGAAGTAGACAGTCGCGAGGAAAAGTACACGATCGTTGTGGCTTGTTCCCTTGGCGTGCGATTAAAAAAAAAGAAAAATATTCTATTCCACAACCAGATAACAAACAAAAATTCTACGTATTATATTATCCTTTTCTATGAAGCTCCATTCTCTACTTCTTTTGTATCAGCCTTATTTGGATTACGAAATTGTACTTTCTCTCTTACTGTCGCTTATATTTGAACAGCTCTTTATCCAAAGTCTAATAAATAAGTAAAGTAATTTCTTTACGACCATTTTACAGTTTCTCACACCAGGGTACGATAGAAAATTGATGCTTATTTAAATTGATCTATCAGTTTCTCTTCTATTATTATATCTCTATCCTATAATATTTTTTAGTAGTCGAACGGTATCGATTGTAGAGAATTAACTCGTGTTAATTGAATTTTGAAGGATTCACGTGTAACTGTTGGGGATCTGTTGTTTGTAAACGACGATTCCACGTTTTCTGCGTTGCACGTTCTCATCGTGTCATCGAATTCCACGAGAATCGGGTAACCGGGCGTTAAATGTTTCGCACGTATGCAGGGCCGAATGAATGGGGAATGCTCGCGTCGTTGTGTTAGGGATTCTTGTTATTTTTCTTGCGTTGCTTTTGCGTGCGATGATCGACACGCAAAACCGAACACGCCGCGGGGCATCGTTTTTCGAAATTAGCTGAACGCCCAATAATCACGTTCCAAGGGCGTAATATAAAACTGAACGTTGTTACACGCGCGAGACTGGTGCTGTCTTGCGATGTTACAGCGAATTCCTCGCATTCCCTCGGTGTCGTTTCAAGATAAAAATTGTCGGAAACGCGCAACGTGGCAGTGAACTGGACAAACACTGTTCGATGTTGTTAATTCTCACCTGTTTGGGACAAATCAATATTTCTCGATGATCTTTCGATCGAAAAATCGAAGACGCTTATTCGACAGGGTAGGATACTCCCGGTATATAATTTTATTAGCTTCTATTCTGTAAAACAAAAAATAAGCCAATTAGGCTGGCATTTGGCAGAAAAGATTTTTTCTCAATTCTCAATGAATTAATATTGCTAATTCAATACACCGGTTCTGGTAAATTGGTCGTTAAATAATATCGTTTATATGAGAGGAAAAAATTGCTACCTTGCAACTTTAGAATGTTCTCCAATCTTTTAATTATTTAAGTGGTTTCCCAGTCGTTTCGAGCGATGGAAAGCTCTTTTAAATTCACGGATTCCAAGCGTACAGCCACGGGGGGCTACCCGTTCGACGGTACGGTGTATGCTTTTAGCTTGCAACGCAGCAGCGTGTCAGTTGGCTAGACTTCGATAAGACGGTAATGCTACGAGTATGGATACACCTTTACAGGAAACGCGTATCGCGATAAGGCCCCGAGTATCGATTTGATTAAACGCGGTACGTTACGTCGCCGGCATTTGCGTTTGGTAAAAAGTGCAACGATAAACGGTTCGAGAACTGGGTCTGTTGTTTTTGCTATCTGCGCGTTACCGATTTCCTGTTTCGCGCCCAGGTTCGAAAATATTGCAATTTCACTCGCTAAACGTAGGAACTTTTTAGCTGTTGAATCTTTCGTTGGAGCATCTGTGTAGCGTAACGCGATTTATTGGACGTTTCAGGGTGAAAATAATTCGTGAACCTTGTCTTGAGATATCTTTATCGATGGTAAAGAAGGCGATCTTGACAGGACGCGAAAAAGAAAAATTTTACCCGTCGAATTGGGTCCCCCAAAGTGAAAATCTAATGGCTCGAAGGGACTAGGAATGTTCTCTTTGTACGAAGGAAACGAGGCGGAGCAGCATCGTGCACGAACCATAAATTCCGTCCGATATCCAGAGGAAAAATTCGCACAGTAGTTCTCGAAGCTCGTTCCGTAAAAAATCAAGATAAACAGTCCTACTTAGTCGAGCCGGAATAAAGCACGGTCCCAAAAGACCGTTTCCTACGATTCCTCGTCGCGCGTTAACGGAAAACTGTTGTTGGCGGCTGGACTGCAAGCTCGCGTGTGGATTATCTTCTGACCAAACACGTTCATTATGATAATTTATTATCCCGTTTCCAGCGGATCCCGCCTGCTCGGTAAATAAAAGGAAACGCAGGAAAGCGGGGTTCTCAGCGTGTTGTCTCGGGGAACGATTCGCGAAACGTTCTGCTTAAAATTAATCTGCCCGTTGAAGCCTTTGTGCACGTTGCAGATGATATGGATAAAGCGTACGTCCTGTGTTACCCACATTCTGGATCGAGAATCGCCCCCTCGTCCGCTTATCTCCGGAGTCGAAGAATTTCAACTCTCGAAACCATTTTATTTTTACGCGTTCGTCTAACTCAGCTTCTCTGTAATTCATCTTCGATCGTGCATAATGGAGATAACGATGATAGAAACGGTAACAATTGAGACTGAATATTCTACAGTGAAATATTGTTGTTTATACTACAATTTCTATAGAAACATTAGTGCACAAGTTTTTTTTTTTTTTAATTTTGAAATAGAAATTCTGTTTCAAGACTGTTCTCTTTTTTGGGGAGGGGTTGCAGTCGATTTTTCTTGTCCTATCGGTCGATAATATCCCCGAATTTCCCGTGGTTCGATCGGCGCTTAATATCGACGCTGACAATTATCGTTAATTATTGTTGCTCGCATATGCG